CCGTCTTGTCTCCCTTCTGTTTCCTTTTGTCTCCCTTCTTGTTGGTCATTGTGTCCGCCTTGTCTTCCTTCTTTCCTTTACATTCGCCTCCTCTCTCCCCCTCTCGCTTGCAACCCTTCACATTTGTCTCCCAGCTGCCCTGCCCTGCAATATTACATGTGTCTCCCAGCTCTGGGCTGCGTGTCGCTTGCAATCCTTTACATTGTCATTTGTCTCCCTGTGTCTACATGTGTCTCCCAGCTCTGGACTGCTGTGTCCGCCTCTGCCTTGCAATCCTTTACATTTGTCTCCCAGCTCTGGGCTGCTGTGTCCGCCTCTGCCTGCAATCCTTAATTTTACATTTGTCTCCCAGCTCTGACTGCTGTGTCCGCCTCTGCCTTGCAATCCTTTACATGTGTCCTCGCACGCCTTTGCATTTGTCTCCCAGCTCTAGACTGCTGTATCCGCCTCTGCCTTGCTATCCTTTATTTGTCACCCAGCTCTGGGCTGCATGTCGCTTGCAATCCTTTACAGTTGTCTCCCTGTGTCTACATTTGTCTCCCAGCTCTGGACGTCGCAAACTCTAGGTGCAGAGTGTTCCGATATTGAAAAACACAAACTGTTTGGGGTCTACGGTGGTGTCATTTTTTAAAGGAAACGAACCGTTCATGTTCCAGAGGCCGCACGACCGAGTCTCTGGCCGAGTCAGAATGAATTTCTGTGCTCTGGCCGAGTCTCTGTCTCACCACCTTCGACTTCATCACTTAGCCAGAAGAGGCAGGTCATGTACCTGGGCGCGTCTTGGGCTCACAAACGCTGGAGACTCGTCCCAGCTGACTCGCTCAGGTTGGGGGTCGGCCACAAAGCGGGCGTTGCTTTGATGGTTGGATTACACTCGGACTCGGACGAACACATCACATGGAAGTGGATGGCACCCCTGTTTCTAGAGGTAAAGAAGTCTTCCTTTCGGAGCCCAGCCATCCACGTCCATGTTAGTGAGTCAGAGGATTATGTGACTAGTGTTTTCGGATGTTTAATGCTTTTTCCGATCCATGGGAGTCTACAATATATCAGTGATTATAGTGATTATGTCAGGGATTTCTCGGACATCCCATCACCAGTAGATCACTGGTGGCGGATCCTGACACTCAAGATCAAGTGACTCATGTGCATCACGCATCGACACCAGACTCTGGGTCTTCTGAAAAAACCGATGCACTCGTTTCGTGCATCACTCGTTTCGTGCATCCAACTGCGCCTAAACGGCCGCCAATCGCTGGTGCCGAACCCGCCCATCTGTACCCTTCCAGGCGACGAGCGGGTTCCCGTATCCTTTTGGAGTCCCGTTCCTGCGAGCGGCCGCCGCCGGCTCCGACGAATTCGAAGGGCCCCGGTTTGGAACAACACGGTCGTTCTTCGGACGGCCCGGTGCTTGCAGCCGGAGAGGATCCTGCTTGAGGCCAAAAACTACTAGCCAGAGTAGATGTTCGCTCCCCGATGGATGAGAAAGTCTCCTTGCAAATGCGTTTGGGCATGAGCATGATGTCCCAGTGTTTTAGTTTTATCATGTTTTATCTATCGAAAACAACGGACACGATATAGTTTGCAAACCGGATGAAAAGCCAAGGTGCTTGGTGTTTGGGCCCCTGTATTGAGTCCCCTCTTGAAAGGTCCTTCTTTGAAAAGGGCCTTCTGAAAGGAGACGATCATCACACCCAAATACCTTTTCTTCTTCCAACATGGCCCCTAACTTCCGCATGACGGTCTTGGTTTTCGTTCGACTGACCGTGTCTTTTCGTTCGGCCTGGTATGTGCACAGTCCCAGGGGTGTGGCCATCGATGTGTGGGTTCAGATATTGGCCCTTCTCGTACTTCAGCACCGCCCAGCCTCGAGCCGTGAAGCCGCGCGACAGCAGAAGACTTGACTGACTCAGTAAATCCCCTCGGTTTCAATTGGACCTGCTCCAAGAGAGGTTGAGAAACCTGAACGTTCGGACCCTTTTTGGTGGTAGGGCTAAGAAGGGCTGCTCAACCTCTCTAGGCTCTTCATATGGGGGGGGTTCTGGTCCTCAAGAGTCTATATAGAGGCCGTCGAGTGGCTGGGTTCACCGAACGAAGAAAGCATCGCTTCGGGTTGGGCGGTTGGGGTGGTGGGACTCGGCCCAAGCCGCTGCGCCCTCCAAGCCCCGCCTTCCGTTTTCGGGAGCCCATCATGGATGGATGGGGCTCCCGCGCATGAGAAGAAGACGATTCGAAGCCATGATGAAACTGGGGGTGTGCTCGGCTTGTTTTTGTGGGTGACGTGTCAAACATCACATAGGAAGTTGAATGGAGTTGATGGGTAGTTGCTGCTAACGCCTCCAGGCGCCTGTGCCTGATATGTAATAACCTCCAATAATGCAGTATCTAGTGTGCTTGATCTATGACTTTGTCCTTCTGTGAGCTACAGGTGTGTTGGGGGGGGGGGTGGTTTCGTTCGGTTCGTCGATTCGTTCGTTTTCGTGCGTTTTCGTTTGTTCTCCTTAGTTTTCGTTTGATTACGGCCGGTTTCGTTCGGCTCATGTTTCAATCCCGCAGCCGCGGCCATGGCTCTCAGCCGTGAAACTCTTTTGTGTTTGTCGTTCATTTTGTTGCTTCGTTTGTGTGGGGAAACCGTTTCTGAGTCTAGGTGGCCTTTGGATCTCAACGTTCTTCCACCTTTTTTTGGGTTACTTCGATACACGTGGTTGCGAGTTTGGTTGACAATCTTGAAAAGCAAGAACAGGTCTCAGTTTTGGATTCAACTAGCTGCTTTGCATGTGCTATCTGCAAGATTAAATCGCCCCATGTCTTCGAGCCATGCAGAGCAAACTCGTCATGATGGTCATGCAGAGGTCCTGAACGAGGACACGGTGCCTGGGTGGATCTGGGAACGTGAAACGGGTCCTGCAGAGGTCCTTGCACTTGTTTGGGGACATGTGGTGCTTTACCACGCTCGCCGGCTCCTCCAATTTGTCCCCACCGGACCAGGCCTCCCCGGGCAATATCGCATCGACCCCACAGCACGACTCTCCTCCAGCAACCTGGCCACCCTACACAACACACCGCCCGGCTTCCCTTTGCCACAAACACTCTCCAACCGCTCACCCTCTCCAGCACCACGCACACCACCAGAAGATGCAGAACGTTTCCACCACTACTGGACCGGTCCTCCACCACGTGCCAACCAAACTCCCCGTCTCAGCAACGACAACCGAGCCAGAGAGCGTTCTCGCTCCCGTGATGCCCATGCAGACTGACCACCTACAGCACTCAGCGCCACAGCAACCTTGCAGCTGATGACCTGCGGCGGCTGCCCTGCTCACACCTCCACTTGAGAACACTCCTGCGGCCGCGATTGCTGATCCATATTTCAGTCTCACCGACTTTCCACGGCGAGCACAGGCGACAAAAACATCGCCGCCAGCCACTCCGAATTTTCATGTTCTCTACTTAGATTGTTCACTACGTTGCAAACGTCGACCTTTCTTTCTGCAGCCATTTCACTGAACCGTTTTTCTCCTTCATACTCCCCATGACCGAGCGCCCCCTCCGAGATGCAATGCTGCGCGCGGATCTACAGGCTCGAAGACAAATCTGCCCCGCATGGTTGTGTTTTCCTTGTGTGAATCACTGTAACCGTAACCATGGAGCCAGTGGTTTTTTTATGCAGAGCTTCCTCGATTTTCCGGGTTCCACGCGCCCGGCGCGCCCGGTGATGCGAATAGGCCGGCGCACAATCTTCAGCGCATCCAGCACGGCGTGACGACGCTGAGCACGGAAGGCGCATCCTGTGGAATCGGTTCTGCGCCCACTTTGGGTGTCATTTTGTTCTCCTTCTGCAAATTCGCAGGCATGACGACACGGGCACTGCGGCAATTTTGGTGTCTGGACCCTTGACGCCCCGGCGACAGACCACGATCATACCAGCATCTCAGCGGCAATGCCAGCCAACCATCTTGACTCAAGCAGTCTTCCGTGCACCCTTTTTGTTCCGTGGCTTTTGAATGGTTGTGCAAAACAATACCCAAACATCGCCCAGGTTTTGGATTCACCTACATTGCAAAGCTTCAATGCTGTCGATCTTTGTTCGCCTTCTCCGATGTCCAAGAAAAGACGGACAGGTGACCTGGCCAGTGAAGCAGACTCTTTGTCTCCTCCCCGCGGCGACGAGTCTCCGCATCACTTGAGGAGCAAACTTGAAGCTTGGTGGGAGAACAGTCTTCCTGGGTGGCGTCAGCTCCCTCAGCCAGTGGTTGAAAGTTCCACAGCCTCATCTGTGGATGTGCAGCCCGGCGTTGCTATGCCGAGCTTGGTGTCTTCTTCGAGTACCACGACTTCTATGCCTATGCCTTCCACGCATGTTCCTGGCGGGCCGTCTTCAAGCACCCCGACTTCTGTACAGGTGCTTTCTCCATGCGTGCAGGTGCGAAGCACTGGCTCCTCGAGTGGCACTGCTGCGGCGCAGGTTGATGAGTGGGGTCTGAAGCCAACGAAATTTGGAAGGTGTGAACAGTGTGGCTACGCGCTCAGGCGGGTTTCCTATTGCTGATTTTCCTTTTTGGTTTGGGGTGCATGTGCAATGAACCGGCTCGCCAGGCAGAAGATCTGGCACAGTGGCACGCGGGCAGGACACGCCGTTTTGTCGCTTTGCAGCCTTGTGTCATGGTTCTGAAAGACAGTTGCAATGTTCACAGAGGCACTTTCCGGACTCCTGTCTTCTTCAGCTTCTGCCATCACATTCGTTTCCTAAGGATCTGTAGCCGCTGGTTTGAGAAGGATGACAGCCGACGAAGGCTTTGCTGGTTTTCCCGCGAAGTTTCCGGCGAGACAGTTCGTGCGTGGGGCAAGTGGTGGGCCAACACGTACTTTAGTTTACCGATGCGCTTGCGTCGAGGGGGCCGTCCTTGAAGGAATGGTCTTCTCTTTACGCACGCAAGCACAAAGCAATCTACTCAGATCGTTCTCCGAGCAGAGACTCGTGACGCAGAGATTGTTGCAAAAGACGGCCCTGCTCCTTCCTCACGTGCTCTGATGTTCCCAGTCGATGACAATCTTGCTGATTGACTTCAGTCCAAGAGGTGTTCCTGACTGTGTGAGATTTTGGACCAAGTGTAGAGCACACATGCGTGTCAATGGCCACAGAGAGGCTTTGAAAAAAGAGGAACCTGTCAATGCAAGGTCAGTTTTGATGGGAATATGTGGACACAGAACTTTCTCTTTCACACTCGAATCTTTTGCTGTGACATAAAGACACCTTTTCATGCCGTCACCGGCCTGGAGCGCAAGTGCTGCTGCTGTGAAGCCGACCGGAGTGTGGTTCCTCGATTCCAAACAGATGTTTGGATTTCAAGATGTCTCTCGGTGTCTTCTTCAAGTACCACGACTTCTTCGACTTCACGGATATGTC